CTCCTGGTTTCTAAGATGAATGAGGAGTTAATCTGATGGAGATAAAGCCATGAGGAGTGCAAAGTGTGATTCTGAAATTATAGCCACTGCTTATGTGGTATCTGTCTATTCTGCCAGACTGCAGTGGGTGACAAATCTTTTGCTCAATCTCAACTCAACCTAGGGGAGGAGTTTGTGTGCCAGGGAGTGCAGAGACTCAGCTTGCCTTCTAGGAGTTCATGGTACTGTGCACTCTAAATGAATTATTACCTGATCTATGTGCTCTTGAGAGTTTGAGGCTGTGCTATCAGCCTGTTTTGCCTTCATTTTTTGGCCTGCTAGCCCTGATCACTTCCTGCTCATGTCTGTAGGGAAGAGAGGAACCAAACCCAAGTACTGAGGCAGCAGCAAGATGAGGCTTATTTGGCATCTTTGCGTGCAGACCAGGAAAAAGAACGTAAGAAGAAGGAAGAACGGGAGAGAAAGAAGAAAAAGGAGGAGGAAGTGCAGCAGCAAAAACTAGCAGAGGAGAGACGGCGACAGGTGAGTGCAAACTGACTACTAGAGAGGCTGACATGCTCTTCCGGATGCTCACAGTGTGTAGGAGCAGTGTCTGCAGTAGGATTTTCCTGTCAGACTGGAGTTGCTAGTCTTGCCTTGGGGCTTGTGTATCCTCCAAGCCTTCTGGAGCAGCTGTGCTGCAAGGGACAAGCAAAAAGGTCAGCTTGGTGCACACCCATTGCTCCTTTGCTCCTTCTTCCTTACTTCGTACTTTCCAGACGCTGCAGGAGGAGAAGGAACGGAAGTCAGAATGCCTTCCTCCTGAGCCACACCCTGATGACCCAGAGAGCGTGAAGATCATTTTCAAGCTGCCTAATGATTCCAGAGTGGAACGGCGATTCCACTTCACACAGTCATTGACGGTGAGCTTGGGGCAGAGCTGACAGGCTGCTTCTTGTGGATTGGGTTGAGAGGTTCCACAAGTGGCTTTGACAAAGCTTTTGTTCCACTGACCTTTGCTTAGAGTTGTTTCTGGGTAAGTAGGGTGTCTTTGGACCTGACCTCTTCAATTTGGAAGAGAAAGATTATGGAAAAAGCTGGAACAAAAATACTCTTCTGAAAAGCTGAGACTCTCATTGCTCCCTGTTAAATAATGGGTATAGGAAGAGCCAGAGATGGTATTCTATGGCACGTCCAATTTAATGCATGCTAAGACGATGGCTGTGTTTCTACAACACGGATGGTGTGAATTTGTGAACTTAACCCCTCCCCTGTGAGATACTGTGGATGCATTCTGGCTGCATCATAGCTTCCCTGGCTGGCAGTTACTTCTGTGCTTCTTTCCCAGGTAATCCATGACTTCCTGTTCTCCCTGAAAGAAAGCCCTGAAAAGTTCCAGATTGAAGCCAACTTCCCTCGCCGTGTCCTGCCCTGCCTCCCTACAGAGGAGTGGCCCAACCCACCCACGCTGCAGGAGGCCGGACTCAGCCACACGGAAGTCCTCTTTGTGCAGGACCTCACAGACGATTGACATTTTTCCAGAAGACACAAATTGGAAGAGAAATTCATATTATTATTATAATACAATATTTTTTTTTAAAGACTGCGTACAAATGAGGGATCAGAGACCACAATGCCTGTGCCAGCTGTGCTGTGTGTGTGCACACTGGCAAGAGGAAGTGTGTGCACGTCCTCACACACCCATGTACACAGCCATCCCCTACACTCGGAGGGCAGAGAGGGAGGGGATGTGGTGTTGCCCCTCTCCCTTCTTAGGGGAGGAACAGGAATGGCAGCTCTTGGTAATTATTGCTTTTATTGATGACAATAATAATAAAACCCCAACAACCTGATATCTTGTGAGAATTTGATACTCTGCTGCTCCTGCCAGCCAGAAGACCAGGCACCTGAATGTGCTGGAAGTGGGGTTCGGGAAAGGGCTGGACAGAATTTCTTCAGCTTCCCTCTCTGTATAAATACTTTTCTTTTAATATTTCTCTTGCTTTGTAATGACCAAAGGAGAATGGGGTTGACTATAGTATTAACTTTTTGATAAAGAGCTGGTTCGATTCTTACCTGTGTGGGACCTTGCCCAGGGTTCTTAGCCTGCGTAGTGTAATAAACTCTGCCTCTAGCATGTCTGTGCCAATGCTTTCTGCTTATACCACACCGCCGTGCTGCCCAGCTGCAACAGAGCATGGTGGAGGGAACTCCTGCTGTGCCTCTATGGCTGCTGCTCACAGCACTGGGGGTTTGCCCAGTTTCTGGCCTGGTTTGAGACCACCTTTTCATTCGTTGGTTATGATGTGCCTGCAGAACTGCTGAAGACAAATGTACTGTATGCAAGGGGAGGGAGATGGGGTGGGGATTGCTGCTGGGTTGCAGCATACATGTCCTGGGCTGAGTGGAAGGGGGAGCTCCTGTTCTTTGCTCGTGGATAGGTGTCCTTGATGGAGGAGGATGAGAGTAAGGACAGCCCAGGTGTAAACGTGAGACGCTTTCTGCTGGGGGAGCTGCTGGCCATGGGAAGAGGGAGCAGGGCCTCCTCCTTCCCCACAGCTTCTCCCAGTCTCTTTGGGATGGGTGGCCATGCTGTTTCACTTGGTGCAGTCTCGATGAAGCACGTAAGGGAGAAGAGGACAGCCCTCCTTCTCGCTCATGTTGCTGCAGAGTGCACCCCAGTTCCTCTTCAACACGGAGAGACCTTCCTCCTAGAGGAATGCCTGTTCCCTTTCTGCCCTTAGGGCCCATGGCAGCAGCAGCAGCTCGGCCTTGGGCTGCCAAACCCCCCCATAGCAGGTGGGGCCTCTTCCTTGTGCTGGAGAAGGGGGGATCCTGCAGGCAGCCCAGCCCAGCCCCTGCCTGCCCACACCACGACAAGAGCCGGGCGCAGCGCCTTGGTATACATCATACATTTATTAGTGAATATCCCTCTCAAAATCAGCCACAACATTAAAAAAAATAATGATTGCACTACTTGGTCAAGCAGAACTAGCAACTTTCATTTTAAAAAAAGTACAAATCTGTTAAAAATTTCAATCAGTATAATACACATATATATAATACAACATACTAGTTATGTTAAATGCTACAAAACCAATATGATTCCAATGGAATGGAAAAAAAACCAAACACTTTTAGAGCTTTAAGAACCTTTTTTTTTTTTTTCTATATATTAGCCTTTTTTCAAATACATACATGGGAAAAATGAGGTAACTGTAAAATGTGCAAGTAACAGAGCAAAAAAAATTATATATATATATTTATATATATATATATATATATATATATAAAAACTTTCTAACACAGAACACACGTCCTGGCACCTGCCGGGGAGCGGCGCTCGCCCCGGAGGCCCACGGACTGGTATATAGAACAGTAAACAGTCCACTATCCCACCACAGGAAATCATTGGTAAACAGTGGTATCTACAGCGCAGTCAGCAATCACAAACACCCTAAATAATTGGTTGGTTTTTTTTTTTTTT